CCCCCCCCCCGTCAGCACCCGCTCCCTCCCCGCTCCCCCCCCCCCCGTCAGCACCCGCCCCCCCCCCGTCAGCACCCGCTCCCTCCCCGCCCCCCCCGTCAGCACCCGCCCCCCCCCCGTCAGCACCCGCTCCCTCCCCGCCCCCCCCGTCAGCACCCGCCCCCCCCCCGTCAAGCACCCGCTCCCCCGCCGCCCCCCCCGCCGCCCCCCCGCCGTGCCCGCGCCTCGCCGCCCCCCGCCGTGCCCGCCGCCCCCCCCGCCGCCCTCCGCCCCCGCCGCCCCCGCCGCCCCCCGCCGTGCCCGCCGCCCCCCGCCGCCCTCCGCCGTGCCGCCGCCCCCCGCCGCCCCCCGCCGCCGCCCGCCGCCCCCCGCCGCCCCCCGCCGCCCCCCGCCGCCCCCCGCCGCCCCCCGCCGCCGCCCGCCGCCCCCCGCCGCCCCCGCCGCCCCCCCGCCGCCGCCGCCGCCCCCCGCCGCCCCCCGCCGCCCCGCCGCCCCCCGCCGCCCCTCGCCCCCCCCGCCGCCCCCCGCCGCCCCCCGCCGCCCCCCGCCCCCCCCCCCCCCGCCGCCCTCGCCGCCCCCCGCCGCCCCCCGCCGCCCCCCGCCGCCCCCCGCCGCCCCCCGCCGCCGCCCGCCGCCCCCCGCCGCCCTCCGCCGTGCCCGCCGCCCTCCGCTGTGCCCGCCGCCCCCCCGCCGCCCCCCGCCGTGCCCGCCGCCCCCCGCCCCCCGCCGCCCCCCGCCGTGCCCGCCGCCCCCCGCCCCCCGCCGTGCCCGCCGCCCCCCGCCCCCCGCCCCCCGCCGCCCCCCGCCGTGCCCGCCGCCCTCGCCGCTCACCATGTGGGGCCCGTAGTAGCCGGGCAGGTAGAGCTCGCAGATCTGCACCAGGCACCAGAAGGCCTCCTGCGGGCAGAGCGGCCGTGAGTGCCCACAACGGACACCCTCTGTGGTCACTCAAGCCAGAAGCCTGGGCTCAGTGCTGTGCTGGGGCTTTTACCAAAAGACACACACACACACACACACACACACACACACACCGCCCAGACTGAGAACTACCACCCATGGTTTGGTCTCAGAGCTCAGGGTGAATTTGAGGGTCACAGGGTTCCTGGCGCCATTGGCCAGGGGTCGTGTTTGCAAGGTTCAGGAGCAGGACTCGTGCCTGGCTGGCGTGGCTCAGTGGTTGGAGCGCCCACCCGCAGACTGAAGGTCCCCGGCTCGATCCCGGTCAAAGGCTCGTCCCTCAGTTGCACGCTCAGTCCCCGGCCCTGGCCGGGGCACTCGCAGGAGGAACTAGTCGGTGTGTCTCTCACCTCGGTGTCCCTCTCTCCCTGTCTCTCCTCCTCCCTTTCATCCTCTCCACAAATACCCGCAGGTGAGGATTAACGAAAACGAACGACAGGAGAACTGGGAGTCCTGAGGCCGAGGCGAGGCAGTCACCTCCAGGCTCCTCGGCCCCTGAGCCAGGTTCCTGGTGTCAGGTTGTTGGGCTTGAGGGTCAGTGAGGTCGGCAGTCGGGAGGCCCTGGGCCCCCAGGACAGGACCCGGGAGGCAGGGACCCCAGGCCCTGCGGCCAGAGCGCCTGGGTCAGGAGGCCCAGGGTCCGGGGCCCAGGACCACAGGGGCCCAGGGTGGGTAGGGTCGGGGGTCAATCCTCGGCCGCGAATGCGGAGTCCCCTGGGCTGGGACAGGTGAGTGGGCTGCGGGGCGCGGGCGCGGGCGCGGGCGCGGGCGCGGGCACTCACCTCCGGGGGCAGGTGCATGAGCAGCACCGCAGCCACGGGGCCCTGTGCCTGGCAGTAGCCCTGTTCCGGCCGATACAGGGTGTAGGCCTTGAGGACCTGCAGGAGCCCCTGCTGCCTGTGCCGGGAGACCCCGTCAGCATCCCTCCCCAGCCTTTGGCGCCTCTGCCCAGGCCTCCCCGCCCGGCCCTGCTGGGGGAGCAGGGTGGGGGCAGGGGGCTGCACCACAGGGCTGGGGACCCCGGGCACCGCTGGCCTCGTACCCGTGGCCCTGGGGTGACACAAACATCTCGTGCAGAGGGAACTGGCGGTGCAGGTCCCTGCTGATGGTCTCCATCCACTGTGGGTCTCCGGGCGCCTCGGCCAGCTTCTGTGGGCGTCAGGGAGCGGGTGTGAGGGCTCGGCGTGGCGAGGGGCCCTGGGAAGGGGACTAGGACCCCTGCCAGCTCTCGTACCTGGTACGTGTCGGGGCTGTTCTCCTGGCACACGTGAGCCCCGCACAGCAGGGGCCAGCAGCGGGCGCGCAGGGCGGAGGGAATGCCCTTCCGGCACTGCATCTTCACCTGGGGAGGCCGAGCGAGGGACCGGCAGGCTAGCCACCCCCGCCCCAGCCTCCCCTGCTCCTCTCAGCGGGCACCGAACAGCCTGCCATCGGCACGGCCGCTGCGGGGGGCAGGGAGGAAGGCAGGAGGGGGGCACAGGAGGGCCACGCGGCCCTGTCCCTCTCACCTTCTTGTACCGGCGAGACATGGTTTTCTCCCAGTGTGACGTCATCTCCACCCACTTCATCTCCCGCTGGCGGATGAGGTCTGCGGGGGGCTGGCCCGGCCTGGGAGCACATGCCACGGACACCGAGACGCAGGCAGCGGTTAGCGGAGCCCGCCCATGCCACCCGGGCAGCCTCCGGGGGGCTGGCCCGTCACCCAGGAGTTGCCAGGGGTTGTGATGGGGACAGGAAGGGATGTGGCTGTGATGTGGGCAGGGGCAGGAAGGACCGAAGGGGTGTGCGTGGGGAGGGGCGGGCTGGCTGTCCCCGGCAGAGGGCACAGACAGCGCACGGCAGAAGCCGAGTGGACAGAACCCTGAACTGGAAGCCAGGAGTCCCGGAGTCTGAGTCTGGTGCTGCCTCTGAGCTGCTGTGTGACCTCAGGCAAGTTCCTTTGTGTCTCTGGGCTTATTGTCCTATCTACCCTTGGGAAAGGGGGAGTGTGGGGGCACAGGTGTGGGTTTCTATGATTTAGATTTGGGATTCTTGGCCCAGAGATTAAAAGGGGAAGAATTTTTGGCCCCAAGAGATTGGGTGCAAAAGAGGCATGCTTGGCCCTAGCTGGTTTGGCTCAGGGGTTAGAGTGTCGGCCTGCGGACTGAAGGGCCCCGGGTTCGATTCCAGTCAGGGGCACATGCCCAGGTTGTGGGCTCAATCCCCAGTGAGGGGCGTGCAGGAGGCAGACAATGATTCTCTCTCATCATTGATGTTTCTATCCCTCCCTCCCTCTCCCTTCCTCTCTGAAATCAATAAGAATTTTTTTTTAGAAAGAGGCCCACTTGGACATATCCCCCAGCCCTGCCACCCTCAGGATTCTACCTGGAGCCTGAGGAGTGACACTGGCTGAACCCCCAGACCCTCCCAGACTCTAGACGTCAGCCCTTAGCCCCCATCCTCCCTTTCCCTCCCCCACAGCCCCTCCCCCGCTTCCTCCCACTTACCCCGGCTCTGCTGAGCTGCCCCCGATGAAGCCATAGCGGTCAGCCTGGCGGTACGGGCCCGGCCCGCTCAGCTCCGAGTCTGAGCCCAGAGAGCTGGAGTCGTCCTGCACCAGGTCCTCACCCAGGGCCTGGGCCATGCTGCGCAGACCCCGTAACGGCTGCAGGATGGGGGGAGCTAGCGTGAGCGGCAGTTCCCGGCCAGCTCGGGCCGGCTCCCGCGCAGCCAGCCCCGCGCAGACCCTGGCTGCGAGTGCAGGGAGGAGGTTTCGGGGTACCTCACCGGGCCCCTGTAGCCCCTTCTGGAGGGGCAGGCCCCGAGGGGCAGAAAAGCCAGGCCTCTGTGCCGAGACCCAGCCCCTGGCCCAGCCCCAGCTTACCTTCCTGCTGCACCTCACCTCCTCCTCTCACTTCCTCCTCAGCCACAGCTTCAGCAGCTCACTGGGGGGCCCCTCCCCAGTGTGTGTGTGTGTGTGTGTGTGTGTGTGTGTGTGGTGGTGGGGTGTCACCTCTTCCTCTCTGAGGCTCTTCCTGCCTACCCCAGTGTCCCCGGGCCATGGGCTCCTCCCTCCACCGCTTGGGCAGGCCTGGGCTCCTGAGCTGGCTGGGGGGGTGAGGGGGGGAGAGGGGGGGCTGCCAGAGTGGAGACCTCTACTTTTGAGATTAGCATGCAAAACACTCAATTCAGTGTGCCAGTGAGAATTGTGGTTTAGTTAATGTTTGCTCTTTACAAAGTAATACTTAAAATAAATAAATAAATATATATATATATTATTGATTTCAGAGAGGAAGGAAGAGAGAGAGAAGCATCGATGGTGAGAGCATCATGGATCGGCTGCCTCCTGCACGCCCCACACCGGGGACGGAGCCGCAGCCAGGCCTGCGCCTGGCCTGACCGGGATGGAACTGTGATGTCCTGGTTCCTAGGTGCACGCTAAACCGCTGAGCACGATGGCCGGGCCCAGGGAACACGTGTAACGTGCACACATGCAGCATTATTATGCTACACAACAGGCAACGATGGGGCTTACAAATAAATACTAATTTAGGTCACAACACAGACAGTGGGACCCAAAGCGGGCTGGGAGTCCCGGTCAGCGCCTCGGGGCCAGACTCAGACCGAGGTCCTCAGGGAAGGCGAGCCCGGCCCTCGCTCTCTCTGGGTCTCCTTTCCTTTTCTGCACGTGAGGGACTCGATCCACGGCGACTGGGAAACAATCGTCACGCGCTCACACGGCTCCGGAGAGAGAAAAACAACTTCCAAGTACTTCCGGCCGCACCGCCTCGGAAAGGGGCGGGGCAGTTCCTAGCAGGGGCGGGGCCAGCCGCAACCTCGCCCCACGAAGCCCCGCCCAGCGGCCGACCCCGCCCCAGACACGCCGGCCCCGCCCCGTCGCCGAAGCCCCGCCCCGCGGCCGGGCCCCGCCCAGACACGCCGGCCTCGCCCCGTCGCCGAAGCCCCGCCCCTGGCGCCACGGCCGCGGCGCCAGCGTCCAGCGGGGGCGCTATGGAGCCGGGGCCGCGGGCCGGGGAGCGGGCGGGGCGGGGCGGGGCGGGGCGGGGCGGGCCCGGGAGGGCGGAAGGAGCTCCAGGCCGGAAGGAGGCCGCGGAGGGCGGGAGGCAGGAGCGGGCCCGGAGCTGCTGGGCCGGAGCGGCAGAGCCGCCATGTCCGACAGTGAGAAGCTCAACCTGGACTCGATCATCGGGCGCCTGCTGGAAGGTTGGCTGCGGGCGGGGGAGGTCGGCCGCCCCTGCCTCCCGGCCCGGCCCGGCCCGGAAGTGGCGCGCGGGGGCGCCTGCCCCTCCCAGGGCCGCGGGGACGGGCGGGGACGGGCCGCGAGGTCCCACGGCCGCAGCCACCCACTCGCGACGCGCTCGGGGGCCCTGGGGCTGCTGCGCACGGGGCGCCCCCTCCCCGGGCCGGGGCGCAGGGCGGGCCTGTCTGGGAGTGAGGGGAACCTGGACAGCCCCCGCCCCAGGGCTCCTGCCCGGGTTCGGAGTGGCAGCACCTGCGCACACACTCCCTTCGGCGCCTGTGGTGCTGGGGAGGCACCTGGTGCCCGGGGCGAGGGGGCCCCGGAGGCCCTGGCGCCCCAGAATGCCCTTGGGACACCGTGTCGCCCACCCTCCTCCGGCCTCGGGACCAGGCCCTGACGCCCCCTCTGCCCCCAGTGCAGGGCTCGCGGCCTGGGAAGAACGTGCAGCTGACGGAGAATGAGATCCGCGGCCTGTGCCTCAAATCCCGGGAGATCTTCCTGAGCCAGCCCATCCTTCTGGAGCTGGAGGCGCCCCTCAAGATCTGCGGTGAGCCCCCTGCCAGGCCCCTCAGCCTCCTGAAGGCGGCCCCGGCCCCCAAATCCCCGGGTCCTCCTTATCTTGAGCCCAGCACTGGCCCTGGGTTCAAGTCTGGCCCCTGCGCCGCGCTGACCTGGTCCCTGGGTCGCAGGTGACATCCATGGCCAGTACTACGACCTCCTGCGGCTGTTTGAGTACGGGGGCTTCCCTCCGGAGAGCAACTACCTCTTCCTGGGGGACTACGTAGACCGGGGCAAGCAGTCGCTGGAGACCATCTGCCTGCTGCTGGCCTACAAGATCAAGTACCCCGAGAACTTCTTCCTGCTCCGCGGGAACCACGAGTGCGCCAGCATCAACCGCATCTACGGCTTCTACGATGAGTGTGAGTACTGGCGCGGGGCTGCCGTCAGTGGCCTGGTGGTAGGGGTGCCGTGTCTGCGGAGCCCTGCCCTCCTGCCATGGCGCCTGGCACTCGACAGGGAGGCCCTGCCAGGTGACCTCCCTCCAGTACAGCCTTCTCAACCTTCCTAAGGCCCTTTAATACAGTTCATGTGGTGGCGACCCCCAACCACGAAATTATTTTCGTTGCTACTTCATAACTGACATTTTGTTACTGTTAATCGTAATGTAAATATCTGTGTTTTCCGATGGTCTTAGGCTCCACAGCAGCGGTCGCCTAAGACCATCGGAAAACCGAGGTCCTCCTTAAGCACTTAGGACACCTGTTTGGCCAGAAGCGGAGATAAAACAGACCAGTCTCGGCCCGGCCCTGCTCCTAGGGTGGGGGTGCTCCGGATTGGAACTTTGGGGTTCCGTGGAGTCAGCTGCTGTAGAATTCCCCCTAGAAGGCGGTAGGCAGTGTGTGCATGGGGTTCCCTTCAGATCGTCCATGCCTTCTCCCAGCCGTGTCTGGGGGGCCCCAGAGGCCTGCTCACGAGCTGTCTCCCTCCCCTGGGCAGGCAAACGGCGCTACAACATTAAACTGTGGAAAACGTTCACCGACTGCTTCAACTGCCTGCCCATCGCCGCCATCGTGGACGAGAAGATCTTCTGCTGCCACGGAGGTGAGGGCCCTGGGCGCCTGCCGAAGAGCCCGTGGGGCCCGGGAGAAGCTGCCGGCGAGAGGACGCCCCCTGGGGTCTGGGCTTATTGCAGGACGTTCCCTGCCCCTGAGTCAGGCTGCACTCCCCGCGGTGGTGGCCTCGGCATTGTGCATGGGGTCTGCTTGCTCCTTTCTCTAGGGAGCCCTGCAGGCAGGGACCTAAAAGGGGCTGAAGGTAACGAGTTGCCTGCCTGGGCTCCCAGAAATCCAGGGGAGGGCCAGGGGGGAGCAGTGGAGCGTGCACACGCGCACAAGCTGATTGGCCAGGGCTTTGGGGGGGGTGAGGGGAAGCATCCTTGTCTTGAGGCCTGAGGGAGTGATGTGCCACCTGTGTCCCCAGGTCTGTCCCCCGACCTACAGTCCATGGAGCAGATTCGGCGTATCATGCGGCCCACAGACGTGCCCGACCAGGGGCTGCTGTGTGACCTGCTGTGGTCTGACCCCGACAAGGACGTGCAGGGCTGGGGCGAGAACGACCGCGGCGTCTCCTTCACCTTCGGGGCCGAGGTGGTGGCCAAGTTCCTGCACAAGCACGACCTGGACCTCATCTGCCGGGCACACCAGGTGGGCTGGCGGCGCTGGTCCGGGGGGGGCCTGGGCAGCCGCACCCGCCTGACCGCCCGCCCCTCCCCGTCCCCGTCCCCTCCAGGCGGTCTCACCCGCCTGACCGCCCGCCCCGTCCCCGTCCCCTCCAGGCGGTCTCACCCGCCTGACCGCCCGCCCCGTCCCTGTCCCCTCCAGGCGGTCTCACCTGCCTGACCGCCCGCCCCGTCCCTGTCCCTGTCCCCTCCAGGCGGTCTCACCCGCCTGACCGCCCCGCCCCGTCCCCGTCCCCTCCAGGTGGTCTCACCTGCCTGACCGCCCGCCCCGTCCCCGTCCCCTCCAGGTGGTCTCACCTGCCTGACCGCCCGCCCCTCCCCGTCCCCTCCAGGTGGTCTCACCTGCCTGACTGCCCGCCCCTCCCCGTCCCCGTCCCCTCCCGGCGGTCTCACCCGCCTGACCGCCCGCCCCGTCCCCGTCCCCTCCAGGTGGTCTCACCCCCCTGACCGCCCGCCCCGTCCCCGTCCCCTCCAGGTGGTCTCACCCGCCTGACCGCCCGCCCCGTCCCTGTCCCTGTCCCCTCCAGGCGGTCTCACCCGCCTGACTGCCCGCCCCTCCCCGTCCCCGTCCCCTCCCGGCGGTCTCACCCGCCTGACCGCCCGCCCCGTCCCCGTCCCCTCCCGGCGGTCTCACCCCCCTGACCGCCCGCCCCTCCCTGTCCCCTCCAGGTGGTCGAGGACGGCTACGAGTTCTTTGCCAAGCGGCAGCTGGTGACCCTCTTCTCAGCTCCCAACTACTGCGGCGAGTTTGACAACGCCGGCGCCATGATGAGCGTGGACGAGACGCTCATGTGCTCCTTCCAGGTGGGGGTGGGGGATGAGGGAGGGGGAAGGACGGGGCTGGGGGCCCCTGGCTCCGCCCCAGGAGCCTGACCAGTGTTGTCTCTCTCAGATCCTCAAGCCCGCCGACAAGAACAAGGGGAAGTACGGGCAGTTCAGCGGCCTGAACCCCGGCAGCCGGCCCATCACCCCGCCCCGGAACTCCGCCAAAGCCAAGAAGTAGCCTCCGTGGCCGCCCTCTGCCCCGATGGTGGATTGTACAGAAGCCACAGCGCGGGGCCGTGCAGATGCAGGCCTGCTGTCACAGGGAACATGGAGCCTTGATGTATTTTCCTCTTTTTAATGAATCAGTAGCAGTGTCCAAGCCCCCAGGGCTCCCTCTGCCTGTGCCTCGGTGGCTGCGAGCAGGATCCTGGGGCTGAGGCTGAAGCTCAGGGCAAAGCAGGGCCAGATCGTGGGTCTCCAGCCTTGCTTGGCCTCAGGGCTGGCAGCCGGATCCTGGGCCACCCATCTGGTCTCTTGAATAAAGGTCAAAGCTGGATCCCTGCCCTGGCCTGTCTCCCTTGTCCCAACAGTGGGCCTGGCACTCCTTTGCCCAGAGCCGCTTGCGAGGGCTGGCTAGCTGGGCATGGGGCCCCGTTAGGTCCACAGGCCTCCTAGAATTCCCAGCGAGAGCCAAGAGATATTAAAAACGCAGAACTGTCAGCCAGTCATCAGACATCCCAGAGATGTGCCCAGATTGGAAGAGGGACAGTCATGATTGTCAGAAACGGCTGATCAAGGGGCCAGCAGCCCCACTGTGATTTAAGGAAGCCAGGCGCCCAGCCTTGACCACAAGGTTGGAATAAGGTGTGACCCCCTATCAGGCTGCCTCCCCTCCACACAGACATGATTGATAGGGGGACATGATGGGTTGGGGGCCCGTTACCAAGAGCCTCCTGAGGGCATGGGGATGCAGCAGGACCAGCCAGCTCAGCTCCAGCGCACCTTTACCAACCGCCAGGGCGGACACCCAGCTCTGCCGCTGAGGTGGGAGGCTGTGGCTCCATCCAGTGCAGGGCTCTGGGCACAGACGAGGTCCTCAGTCAGCCTTCGCCCTCACTGTCCTCAGCCAGCACAGGGCTGGGGCCCAGGGGGGAGTGTGCGGGGGCCAGGATGGAGCCGAAGAACAGGGAGCGGAACTGGAAGAGGAGGAAGCCCAGTGAGTGTAGAGGCTGCTGCCCCTGGCAGCCCGCCCTCTGCTCTCCCAGCGCCTACCTTCTTGGGTGGGGGGGTCCCAGGCACGGTGCTCTGCTCAGCTTCCTCTTCCTCTTCAGAGCTGCAGGGGCCCTGGAGGCCGGGTGAGAGGGAGATGGAGGGGAGCGCTCTTGAGCTCTCGGTGCCCACGGTGGTTTCCATGGCGATCATGTAAGAGTCAATGTCGTCATTGGCAAAGTCATCCAGCTGGGAGGGGCTGCAGGTAAAGATGTCCGTGAGAAACAGGAAGAGCCCACCCTGGAGGGCTGGGCTGGGCGGGAGGGGTGGGGGCCTGTGGCCCGGCGATCTCTCAGTTTTATTACTTCCTTATTTGGTGGGAGGGGAGAGGATACAGGCCTAAGTGGCTGGCGGCTTCCTGGAGGGGCTGGGCCTGGAGCTTTGGATCGGAGTTCGGATGGCCGAGGGAGGCCTGTCGGCCAGTTTGGCTCAGCGGGGGGAGGGGAGCAGTAAGTCCGCTGAGCGGGGCCACGGGGCCCAATATCTCACTTCCCACAGGACGGGAGCTGGAGAGCACTGGGGCCCAGGGAGCTGCCGGGCCGGGGGCCAGACAGACTTCCTCTGTAAACCAGACTGGTCCCATGCTCCCCAGCCCCCTGCCCTCCCGGCCACCTGCTCCTCACCCCGCAGTGAGTCTGGGAGGAAGCTCAGTGGGGAGGTCTGAGCCAGAGGAGGAAGCAGCCTGACCTCGGGGACACTTCCTCCGGGTGGGAGGGGTCTGAGCACAGCTGACCAGGAAGGCTGGGCCTGTGAGGCTGGGAGCACTCAGGGCTGGGGCCTTACAGGAAATGTCTGTACGGAGGGGGAGGTATGGAAGCTGGGAGCAGCAGGCGCAGGCCAAGGTGCTCGGAGCCACTGGGAGGGTGGCCCGGGGAAACCCTCACCTGTGGGGCGGAGGCGCTGGCCGGCAGGGCTCCGGGAAGTGCAGGTCCTGGGAGTTCGGGGCTGGCTCCGAGAGCGTAGCCAGAACAAAGTGGCCATCCAGCAGAGAGTCCTTGATGGCAAAGATGGCTGGCCTGTGCAGATGATGGGCGCAGACAAGGTAAGGGCCCTCTGGCTCCTGGCACCCCAGAGCCCTCCCCTCCCTGTCCTGAGCTGGCATTACCTGCCGGGAGCGTCGAAGTGAATGCTGAGAGGTAAGTTCGCTGACTCCGCGAAGCTCAGGAGCCCCTGGGAGGAGAGCAGAGCAGTGAGGCCTTGGCCAGGACAGGAGGATGGAAAGGTGCGGGTACGGGGGGAGCCTCACCCGGAATTCTTTGAGGCAGAAGGTGATGGCCGCCCCTTCTTCGGCCTGCAGCTGCTGGAAGTCCTCCTGCCCAATGCTTATCTCAGTCACCATGGCCTTGAGGGCGCTGTCTGTGGGGCAGGAACAAGAGGAACCTGGGCCCTTGGGTCCTAGCTCCTCCCGCCCATCACTCCCTGCCCCAGGCCTGGCCAGCTCCCTCACCTGCCTCCTCCTCCTGGTAGCTTCGCAGGAGGACCCTGCGCCCATGGCCAATGCCCAGCGTCACTTCAGCCAGCGCGGGGGGGAAGGGCAGGACGGCCTCCCCCAGAACCCTGTGCGGAGGGCAGAGCGTCACCCCGGGGGCCGGGCCTACCCGGTGGTTCTGCTCTCAGAGGACCGGAGGCAAGGACACGCACCAGGGAGGGGGTTGCCAGGGGCCAGGCTGGCATGCCCCAGGGAGGAGGACAGGGTGAGCAAGACCTGGTTCCTGCCCCATCCAGCGCTCCCAGGCCGACATGGAGGGCGGGACAGACAGGAGCCCAGGGAAGCCGCATAAAGGCGGGGATACACCAGGCAGCCAACGCCTGTCCGTCCAGGGGCGGGAGACCACACCTTCCATCCTATCGCCCGGCCTTCAGAAAACCCTACTTGCTGCTTCTTTTTTTTAATATTGATTTTTAACAGAGAGGAAGGGAGAGGGATAGAGTCAGAAACATCAATGAGAGAGAAACATCGACCAGCTGCCTCCTGCACATCCCCCACTGGGGCTGTGCCCGCAACCAAGGTACACGCTCTTGACCAGAATCGAACCCAGGACCTTTCAGTCTGAAGGCCGACGCTCTATCCTCTGAGCCAAACTGGTTTTGGCAAACCCTACATTTTTGCTACCTAGGGATACATGGTAATAAATAGTTACAAATGAAATAATATTTAGAATTAGCCTCAAGACAGTTGGGACAGGAGCTGTATTTAAAATTGTCAGAAAAAGAAAAAATTACTCACTAGAAAAGAGAGAAATAGTCTCAAAATCCAACCCAGAGGTGACAGCCTGCCCTTTCTCCCTCCAAAGGAGACCTGAGCAGAGCTGTGAGCAGAACTCAGAAGCCAGACGGTCAGGACCCAAAGGGACCTTACCTTCAAGTGCCCATGACCCATGGCTGCGGGAAGAAATGAACAAGACCCTGGGCTGCCTGAGCGCCAAGCGCATCCAGCACAGGTGGGAAGGGAGCTCCCTCTGCACGGTCTTCTCCGGGGCCTGGGCCTCCCAGCCTGGGTGCTCCCATCGCCCACCTGGTCCCAGCTCCAGAGCTGCTCGCTTAGGCAGTCCTAGACCCCAGCCTCCCACCCAGCCCCCTGCCTGACAGGGCTCCGGGCTAAGGTCAGGGTAGGTAGGGGGAGAGGCTGCCCTGAGTGGGAATTCCCCAGAAGGATAACCAGGCCAGAGAAGGCTTTCGAGCCCTGAGCTACAAAGCTGATGACAGACTTTCAAGGCTGCTCAGGCTGGAGACCTGGCCTCCAGGGCTGACTGGCCAGAAACACAAGCTGAACCCTTGGGGTGAGAACAGGCTCCGGAAGACAGTGGAGCCTACAGCCAGAGAGCCCTGTCCCTCCACCGCCTCTGAGAGCACACGGAAACCTGCAGGAAGACGGCAGAGGGGCCTTCTTAAACGGACCCTCGAGGCCCCAGAGGAGGACGGGGCCCTGCGGCTCGGGTTCCGGAAGCGCATACTCACTTGGCCGGGGCGCGGAGCAGGTGGGGGCACGAGGCGGGGTCGAAGACAGCCTGCAGGGACTCACAGTCCTGGAAGGACAGGTTGTGAGTCTTTCTCACCCCTGGACGGGCAGACAGAGTCTCAGGACCTCGCCAAGCTCCACCCCACACCTCCCGGCAGCCCCTGCGGGCCGGCGCCCACTCACCGTATCTGCAGAGCAGCTGGACCACCAGGCGGCTGCTCCTGCCGCTCACGGAGATGCAGCACTTCTCCACCGTCTTCTCCAGCGTCACCAGCGAGCGGAAGACGGACAGGAACGACTGAGCGGGCAAACACAGGGGCCATCACTGCACCTCCCACCGCCAGTTCTCCCGTCCCGTCGCCCAGCCCGCCATGTGCTCAGGACTGTGTCAGACCGGGAAGGGAGCTCACACACACGGTCACTGACACATTCTAGGCCTTTGTCGTGCTGCTCCCTGTTCGGAATGCACCTGTCCCTCCAGGCCCTGGCAGGGTTACCAGCCTCTCCTCGTCTGCCATTCCCTCTGCAGATGTCTTCACTGTGCTCCTCGCTGCTCTGTGCACGGGCTGCCCCTGCACACCCCTCTCCCCAGGCGCCATCTGCTGGGGGCTCCTGGGGGAGGGGGGCAGCACCACCGCTGAGGGAGGACTCACCTTCATCAGGATCTTACAGCGCAGCGGGTCCTGACCAGGGGTGGCCGCCTGGTACAGCTGGAAGAAGAGCGGGGCAAAGAGGAAGCAGGCATAGGCAGAGCGGGAGGAGTTCACGGTCCGGAGAGAGAGCTGGGCAAGGAAAGGCAGGGAGGAACGCCGTCAGGCAGTGACAGGCAATCGCGCCGGCCGGCCCTTGCTCACACTCTTGCCCTGAGGTCCTGCACCTCCACCATCGCCTGGTGAAGTCCTGACCCCTTCCGCCATCGGGCACCTCCTCCTTGAAACTCCCCGGAACTGGCCTCAGCACTGCTCCCACCAAGGCCTCACACCAGCACACCGCGCCCTCCCCCCGCCACCGGCCACCGGCCCTCCCTCCGGGGAGACTGTTCTCCGTTCACCACGCGGATGCCCAGCACCAGGGGCTGGAAACAAACTCGGCGGAGAGATCTGTCCGGGCATCCTGCCTGGTGTTGGGAGACGGCGCCCAGGTCAGGCTCCAGGCTGGGATCCCACCCGCTCCTCACCCCGTCCTCCAGGGGCTCCAGGTAGAGCTCTTCCCCGATCCGGGAGAGGGAGTGGACGGCCTTGCCGAGCACTGGCGGGGGGAGAGGATCGGTTAGGCGGGAGCTCGGGCAGCCCCGCGCCCCCCGCCCACCTCGGCCGGGCCCGCGCACCCTTCACGTTGCCGCCGGTGACCAGGCACTTCATGCTGCCCGGCCCGGGCCGGCGGCTGCGCCCGGCAGAGCCGCGCCTCGCTCCCGGCGTGGCGGCCGACCGCCTTCGCGCGCCCCGCTGACAGCCCCGCCCCGCCCCGCCCCGCCCCGCCCCGCCCCGCCCCGCCCCCTCATTGGCCCGCGCGCCGGGCCTCCGTCACGTGAGGAAAACGCTTGCCAACGCCACCGTCACGTGCCGGCGCCCAGCGGGGCGGGTCACGTGACCCGGGAGCGCCTGGCGCGGACCCCGTTCCTGTTCTCCCGCCGGCGGCGGTGCAGCGGGAGGACGGCCCGGGCGCTCGGGCGGAGGAGGCCGCCGGGGTCACCGGTTTAGGGGGCTGCCGGGGAGACGGGGTCGAAGCCAGACCGCCCGCACCCAGTCCGGGCCGGAGGCCGGGAAGCAGCTGCCGCCGCCAGCACTGCAGACAGATGGAAGCAATCGCGGCCGGTCCGACGTGCGGGCGGCTCCCCTGGCTTCGAGGACCTTCCATGGATTCGGTGGCGGCCAGAGGACAGGCGCGCTAATGAGAAGCAGCGGGGACGTTTTCCGGGGGTGGGATCGTACCACGTGGCCGTAAAACGACAACAACAACGCAAAGCCCGGACTGGGCGGGAGGAGGGCTTTGGTCAGCCAGGCTGCCCGCTGGCCCGGGCCTCAGTCCCCGGTGCGCTGTGGAAGGAAGGCCCGGCCGCACCAATGCTCTCAGGTGCAGCCTGGCCTCGCCCTCTGCTGCTGTCTCAGGAGGACACCTGTGCCTGCGGGCCCCTGGCCCTCCCACTCGCCTGCAGTGTGGGCCCCACTGTTTCCCCTTCTTCCTTCATCCCCTCCCTCCTGGGCTCTGGGGAAGGTGATTCTTTCCCCCCAGAGGGTCAGTACATGGCACCTCCTCTGTGCAGGCAGTTAGGCGAGTGAGCTTGGAGTCATCCTGACCCCACCTTCCCCTCACCCCACATACTACAATTTTTTGGCAAGTCCTGAGTCTGCCTCCCAAACAGGGGACAACTTCAGCCGTCCCCTTCCATCTCGGAGCCATCCTCCTGGCTGAGGCACCGCCGTTTCTCCTCTGGACCGCTGACTGGAAGCCCTGAGTCTCTGCCTCACCCAGCCCTCTCTCCACACAGCACAGGGTGACCTTCCTAAAATGTCAGTCACGTCCCGCCTCTCCTTGTTAGACCCTCCAGTGGTTTCTAACTGCCAGACTTCCCATAAACCCTCACTTTTACCCCAAACCTCCCTGCGCAGCCCATCAGCTCTCAGAGCTCACACACATCCTCTTCCATCTTGGGATCTGCACAGGCTCCTCCTCTCTTCTCCCTTCTCACATGCTGGCTCCTTTTCCTGGGGCTCAGCTTCAAGCAATGGGCCTCTGCCCCCTCCCCCGTGTCTCCCTTCCCTCCAGCTAGGCCCTTGCTCTGGGTTAATCACAGCACTTAGCACAGCTCAACATTATTGCACACGTGTGTGCATTTAGTCACTAGCGTGACAGCTCCTGAGCACAGGGACCGTTCTGTTTTGTTTGTTGGTGTCTATCCCTGTGCCTCACGGTAGAGGATGAAAATATGTTCAGTGGATAAACGTGTGATCCGAATGACTGCCTCCAGGGCACCCATTTCTCATAGAATCCACCCCCAAGCCCGCCCAGCTCCTTCACCGGCCCCTGGCTCACAGCCCCACCTCTCCCTGGGCAAGCGGTGCCCCGACCCTGTTCTGTCAGAAGAAAAGAGCCTCGCACAGCGATTCCCTTCCCTAACCTTTCCTCCCCCTCCCGACGTCCCTCTCCTCCACCCATGTAAGCCAGCGGCCTCCCAGCTTCACTCGCCTCTGCCCACACCGCAGTCCTGAGCAGCCCCGGAGCAGGAGGCAGGCACCAGGAAAGGAAGCTGTGATCATGCTTCTTGTCTGCCCCTGACCCCTAGGTCTATGGAGTCTTATGGCCTTGAGGTCTTTGGAGCAAGGCCCTGGGAGAGGGAGACAGACCCTTTAGGTCTCTCTCTCTCTCTCTCTCTCTCTCTCTCTCCCTCCCTCCCTCTCTCACACACACACACACACACACACACACACACACACACGCCTGTCAAAAGTCGGAATCTGCCCTTCTGAAGGGCTCAGACAACAGAAAAGAGGCTAGAGCCGGAGTCAGGCGGCCTGCGTTTCTAGTCTGTATCAACACGGGTTCTGTGTGACTAAGTCCTTCCCTGGCTCTGGGCTGTTGGCATGAGATGCTCCCTGCGGTGCCCGCTTCCCTGTGCCCCGCATCTGGCCATAGCCCTGGAGAGGAGCTGTCACCGGCTGTCTTTATTTCTGTTCTCCTCACCTGAGGATATTTCCCATTGATTTTGGAGAGAGTGGACATCCATTGGTTGCCTCCCGCATGCTTCCTGACCCTGCTGGAAATTGAACCTGAAACCCAGGTAGGTGCCTTTGACTGGGAATCAAACCTGAAATCCTTCTGTGCTCGGGCTGACACTAACCACTGAGGACACCAGCCAGGGCTCTTTAAAAAAAAAAAAAAAAAAAAAAAAAATATATATATATATATATATATATATATATATATATATATATATATAAATTTTTTTAAGAGCCCTGGCTGGTGTCCTCAGTGGTTAGAGTGTCAGCCCAAGCACATATATATGAGGCCCGCAGCAATGCAGCGGCAGGGAAGGCCAGCTCCCATGGAGTTTGTGCCTGGGTTTCTCAGGTTCCCGCCTCCTCATGCGCACAAATGGGGTAGAGGACCTAGTCTCAGAGGGAAAGTAGACACCAGTCCAACTTGGGTCGTCCCAACTACTGTCTCGGTGAGGGGGGCAATGAAAAGAGGGGAAGTGGCCACAGCAGGTCCTGGTGGTGAGTGGCTGTTGTGATCTCTACAGTGCCGTGCACAACTGGACCAGGTCTGACCGGATTCGCATTTGCAGTATCAATGAGGAGAGAGAGAAACATCAATAATGAGAGAATCATTGATCGGCTGCTACTTGCATGCCCCACACTGGAGATCAAGCCCGCAACACCGGGAATGTGCGCTGACTGGGAATCAGACCGTGACGACCTGCTTCAAAGGTCCACACTCAGCCACTGAACCACGGGGGCGGACCGCGGCTTAACATAAAGTTATGTTTGGGAAGCCTGGCCAGCTCCCTCAGATACCGTGATGGCTTTCTCCTGGCCCCCGGAGGCCGACTCTAGTAAAACCTCCAGCTAAAATATATACATGTTATTGATTTTTAGAGAGAAAGGGAGAGAGAGAAAAAAATACAATGTGAGATAGGAACATGGATTGGCTGCCTCCCTTACCAGGATCAAACCTGCAGCCTGGATCTGTGCCCTGACTGGTGACCTTGTGCATGGGATGCGGCTCAGCCAGCAGCCACACCGCCTGGGCTGTCATTGGCTGTGGGGCCAGCGGGGGCTCTCCAGGCTGTGGTGGACACAGCCAACAAACCTCTCAGGACCAGAAGGGAGGGTTTGCAGGGGGCATGAGAGCCTCAGAACTGTCCAGAAGCCTTTGCGTTGGGCAGGCAGTGGGTATAGGGGCCCAGAGACAACGTGGGATCTGTGCCAGAAGTCAGGAGGCCTGGGCGGACTTCTCTGGGCCTTGATATCAAGTTTCCCCTTGATAAAAAGGAGGGGATTGGATGAGATGCTCCCTCAGAACCTTTCAAATCCTATATTCTTAGTCTTCACCATACCTACTTGTGACCACTCACAAGTGTGTATGTGGAGGTGCGGGGGAGAGATGGACAGAAGGTGATGACAATTGCAAACTTTTAATTTTTTTAGGTCTCTATTTTTTCCATTGATTTCTAGAGAGCATGGAAGGGGGAGAGAGAGAGAAACATCGATGTGAGAGAGACGTATCGATTGGCTGCCTCCTACCAGGGCCAGGGAACCTGTAACCCAAGATACATGCCAGGAATCTTAGGGCCGATGCTCTGTCCAAAACCAGCCAGAACCCATTTCAAACTTTAAAAATAATCATCTGTCGGGAAATTTCAGTTCAACCACTACTTCTCACCCAACTGGCTAGGCTTGACGTTGCAGGAATTCCCCAGAGCTCAGTAATTCATTTAATGCAGAAACACATTTCTAAGCTCAGGAACCTGAGTACAGGATACAAATCCCGCTGTCTTGGCTTCCACTGTGCTGGAGAGGACGGATGAACAGAACAGCCTGTGCCCAGGCTCTGGTGTGACCCGAATGTGCAGTGGTGCTGGGATGACCGAGGGGGCGAGGCAGCACTGGGCTGCTGGCAGGGCACTCCTTGCCCACCTGTAACTGCTGCGGTCCACCAGGTGCCAGTGTGCCTGCAGGCAAGCCCTGCCCAGGCCTCTCTCATCCCCAGCACTTCTCCCAGCAATGCGGGCAAGCTCAGCACACACCGTGGCTTAAGCGTAGTATATTGAATGACTGAAGAGCATAACATTCGAAGTGGTTACAAGATTTGAACTCGGGTTGTCTATTGAGGTGGACAATGGGATTCTGGCCACTAGCCTGCCTACATCTGACTCCTGGCTTCATCACTGTTAGGCTGCGTGCAAATGGACATTGTCGATGTTCTCTGAGCCTCAGTTCACTCATCTGAACCTGCGGGAAGGCAAGGGGTGTGTGAGGATGAACTTAGTGCTGATACAGCTGTTCGCACGCGCTGCCGGCTTTACTGTGCCGATGATTGCTGTGTCCCACTACCTCTAGCTCACATCCTAGGGTCAGAACAGGGAACAAAATCCCTCCTCCTCAGGGAGGGATCCACACAGGGAAGCAGGGAGGAAAGACCCCAGAGAAACACTGCGAGGAAAGGCCAGAGGCCAGGACTGGAAAGAACTCGCGGACTCGGGTGGGGGGAGGGCAGCCCCAGGGAGAGGTGTGGGAGGCCGTGGCTGTTGCCATGCGCTGGCCCCTCGATGCCTGGGGAGGGATGGGAGTCCTCTGTCTTCCCGAGCTGCCGGCGGCTGACCCGAGGCAGTGGCTGTGCCCACACTGCCAGGCCCGGTGCACAGACAAGTCTCTCCAGCCTGCAGGGCAGGAGGGGGCGGGGAGACGGGAGGGAATTTTCTAAACCCACAGCGGGGAAGGAAAGGGGAAGCACAGG